GTCGTTCCTGCTGCCTGCCGATAGGGGTGGGAGAAAGAAACATCCCCCCACCCCTTATAACCCTCCGACTACCCCTGGTGCTACAGCAGGCAGCTCATGCTGCAGCAGGGATATAAATTGTGTTTCCCATTTCAATTATGACATTATCCTATGTAGCCTTAAATAGGAGGGAGTGAAAAAAAGCAAACCACGGTGGAGAGTAGCTCTGCCAAGACTCATACTTTGGCAGCAAGACTCTATTTTCTTTCATTTTAATTTAATTTCAGGGCAGTTTTCGAAGAGATGATGAATGATTAAAAAAAAAATTCTCTCTGCTGGTTTCAAAGAGGCAATTTAGAGCCTCACTCAGAATTTTTAAATGCCTCCTGATTTCAAATTATAACAGCTTGAACCTGCGTGGGAGGGCTGGCAAGAGATATGTGCAACTTTTCTCATGCTTAGTGTGGAGGAGAAAAGTAAACAGGCTGGAGGGAGGTGCAGGGCAAGGTTCCCCCACCTCAACTCTGAAGGACACTGTGACACCGCAGCATGCTTGCATCAGCCCTGTTTCCCAGCTTCCCTCTTTGCATGTCTTATTTCGTGATCTTTTTTACAATATGGCTTAATTAGGCAGGTTCTAGTCTATTCTTTTTTTTCTTTCTTTCTTTTTTTTTTTGGAGGGGGGGGGAGCAGAAAGCAAGCCTTTTGTTTCCAGGCTCCTGATTTACTGCCACAAGCACTGAAGCACTGAACTGTGAATGTGCTCTACCATATAACTACCATGTGAACATCCTTTCACAGGAATTAGTAACACAAATCTTCCCTATCGGCCTTTGTGTAGCTCAAAAATATCCCCCCCTTAGTCATCCCTTTTGTTTAGGTTTGGGAGCCATTAGGCCCTGCACCAACCCCTTAGTCATCCCTTTTGTTTAGGTTTGGGAGCCATTAGGCCCTGCACCAACGGCAAATTGTGCTTAACCCCTTGCGCACTGTCGGCGGGGGGCCAGGGGGCCAAGGCACC